TATTTTCTCTTAAGCATTTTATCTGGCCTGTGTTAATACAATAGCTAGTTACTAAACAAGTAATAAAACAAATATCGTAAAACTTGAGAATTTTAGGAATCCCATTTATGTCAAATATTCTGAATGCTTTGTGTCTGTCTGATTAAAAGTCCTAGCTGGTCTCAGACTCCTGCCACAGCTGAGCCGTGAGGTGGATTATTGGGATACTGACACCAGGCTAAGCCACCGTGCACAGCTTGCAAGAGCCCACTGCCAGTTTCTGAGCAGGACAGATGACTCATCCAGCACGAGGCCGGGGGAAGCACAGGGAGAGGAGGAGGCCACAGAGGCATGCAGAGCTACCTTGGAATCCTCGCTATAAGCCGCACTGCTTTAGTGTGCTCCTAAGATAGCTCTAAATACCAGCTTTAACACTGGGAAGGAGGGCATGACAGTGCTGAGCACAGTGTCAGCAAGAAGAAATGTGATCCGATTGCTGTTAACAGTCTTGGTGTTCTTGGCCACCCTACTGCAGCTACCTAGAGAGGATCCAGAGATTTAACAGTGGGCATCAGAGCCAGCTACAGAAGCCCTGCAAAGTGATTTTGCCAGGAATCTGAGGGCATAGCCAGGGGACCTACAGATGATAGGTAAAATAACCCAACTACCAGCATACGCTCCACTGTGCCTTGCTCCGCATTCTTGGCTTGCACTGCCCGCTGTGCTCACCACTGGACACAGGCAAGCCTGTGGTCCTAGCAGTGCTTCTGGGAGAACCCTCAAGGAGCACATTTGGATCCCTGTGGGGAAAATGGCAAGAACAGAACAGCTCTCAGTCCTTCTTGCATTATCACAATAAGAAGGAAGAAAAGTAAGTCCAGTGTGCAAATCTGCCTTATCCAGATCCACTTTTTTTGCTATCTGATTGTAGCTCTGACTTATTTGCTAAAGAAAACAGTAAGGGCAGAACAGAAACTCTTTGTTGCAGTGGTCAGCAAGCAGGAAGGTGTGTTTTCAGTTGCAGATGTCAGCCCTTCATCTCTGAGCTCTATGCATCCATTGGAATGAAAGCTCCAAGCCACCTAATTTCAGCTCTTGAAATAAAAGCTAATTTTGCTGCTTGCATAACCACCAAAATCCCAAGCACTCTTTTTTTTTTTTCATGCTCATGGTTCATTTCTTCCTTTTCGTTTCTTTTTAAAAAGAAACTTATGTTTTTGTCTATCGACCTCATTTCTGTTTTTCTCAGGAGCCATAGAAAATCCGTGTAAGGCCACTGAGCGGTGGGTGCTGCCGTCCAGTGTCTGAACCCTGGGAGTTGCCAAGCAGCTGCCAGCGGCCATCCGAGTGTGCCTGTTTTCATTCAGGGATGGTTGACAGGGCATAGAAGGCACCAGCCTCCCCTTGCACTGCTGTGTGACCTCAGGTTAGGCAGCAGTACCCACACAATGTAGGCCAGGTTATTTGCCCCGAAATTCCTGTTCGGAACTTAAATACTTCTTTGGCAGTACTGTCCCCTTTCTTCTCAGTCTCCTGAGGATCTCTGTAGAAGCATAGATGAACCATGACCTCCTGTGGGTGTTTTGGGGAAGCAGAAACATAGTGCTACGTGTATCCAAGCTTTTCTGAGCCAGCATCAGATCTGTTCAGTGAGCTTCCTTGATGCAGGATATTATTCTCCTTTAATTTTTAAAAATATTAATCTGTCTATTTATTTGGTACAAGGTTTCACTATGCATGCAGCTCATACTCACAGTGATCCTCCTGTCTCAATCTCCCCAGAGCTGTGCCACCATGCCCTATTTCGTGTACCCCATGGTACACCTGGAATTCCAAGGCCAGCGTGCCATGCGGCACCAGGGATTGAACCCGGCTCTTTGTGCTTTACAAGATCTCACTACATAGATTAGATTCATAGTGATCTTCCTGTTTTCAGCCTCCCAAGAGCTGGGATTACAGGTGTATGCCACCATGCCCAATCTCAATCACCATTTCAGTACACTCCAGGAATGGGGCTGACACACCATGCTGCAGATCGAACCCCAGCCCTTGTACTTTACCCAAGCAGACACTTTAGTCTGCTGAGCTATCTGGCTGGCCCTTACCATAGGAGATTTTAAATTAGTACAGAGGACAGTCTGTGTTCCACAGTGCAATGGTAGGTTCTGTGAGAAGCTGGTGCTCAGCTATAGGATCAGTAAAAGCTAGAAAATGCAGTTCCTGAAGGTCTTATTACTGAATATTGCAATGACAGTGTAGTTGCACACTGACTAAAATCCATTCATGATATGACACTGACCTAAGCAGAGTTTTCAAAAGTAATGATGGTAGATGTCTGCCTCAGATTCATGATCTAAATGCTATTGCCTTTCTTTTTGCAAATACAAAAGTTTGTGCCTTAAAGAATTTGTAGACACGCCCCTCTTTTATCTCCAGGCCATCAAGTCCTCTGGATATTGAGGAAATACATATATAGGTTACCATGGGAATCCAGAGCATCATGGCACCAACTTGCTCTGTACAGTGGCAAGGAAGTTGTGCTCACAGCTCTCCTACTTTTGTGCTAGCTGAGAATGTCTTATGTTTTTATATTATTGGCCTGTTTTTAAACTGTATTTGCTTGTCTCAAGAGGCTTATTACAGATACTTAAAATAAAACAAAAGGTGTTCTGTACTAATTTCTATGGTCCTCAAAGTGAGTACAATCCATCATGATATATTTAGACATGGAGAATGCAGTCAGGGAGATGGAATCCAGCTACTGTTGACTCACAGAGCACCTGTCACTTGTCCCACAGCTGTCTGACCCTCTTTGTGTTACTGACCTCCATCACTGGACATTCCTTTCTAGGACTTGGAAAGCATGAGATTATTTTTGTGCTTTTTTGCTTAGATGGGGACAGGAAAACAACTACACACAAGTGATGGAAAAAGACTGAGGGAACAACACTCTAATCAGATGATCTTTGAACAATTCCAAACATGTCATGAAATCATGTGATTGAACTGATGAAAGCAAACTGAGATGGGGCTTAGGAATGTTGTATCCTCTTAGATGATGTTTTCCCTTCAGGCCACCCAACCTTTCCATGTGGTAACCATTATGGTCACATGAATCTGAAAGATCACATTCACCACCCTTAGTTTCTCATGCAAGGGCTAATTTTGTAATGTTATAGCTACACTTCCTAAGGGAAATTTACCGTTACATATTGGGTTTTTTGCTATCTAATCAGCTTCAAATTTATATCAACTTTATTTTCTACAGATCTATAATGCTCAATAAGAATTTATTAAACATAATCCACTACTGTTTAGGAGCACAGATGGACCCAAGATTTGTGTTTAAATCTATATTCTGTCACTAAAGAGCTGTGTGACATTAGGTCAAAATATTTTCCTTGTGAATAAAATGTGAATAATTATGGCTTTCCTCATCAGATTTTGTGGAGACCTTGTAATGTAGCACAAATGTTTAGCTCATGATATAATACAGAATAGGTGTAAATGAGTGAGGACTATTTCTTTTTTTTCTTTTTTATTAATTTTATTGAGAAACTAATGGGAATGAGACAGTTTCAAAACCGATTAGTAGTACAGTTTCAAAAATTAATACATTGCATATTGTTGTCTTCATAGTGGTTATTCATAGTAAAAGATGCAGACATCCTGTTCAAACACTTTTAGAACAAATCTTTCTTCTCATTGAATTAAGAGAAAGTAGCTGCATATCTATTCTAACTATTTTGTATATACGGATACAAAATGGTGCTTCCTTTGTGTCCCCTTTTTTGTTTAGTTTTGTCAGAGATGGGTATTCCATTGTCATTTAAATATTGTAGGTGCATGAATTCAGCAAAATAATCCAATATAGTCCAGGAGTCCATAATAGTAGTGGATTATCTGTAGGACTGGCAATGTCAGAAGTTGTTGACTTGAGCCTTTTAGAGCTCAGCATATTAATATGGCTTTACTTTTTATACTTCGTTTTTACACTTTTCTGCTGGATGGCTAAGACCAAGATAAAGCAAGACATATATAACAAGAAATGTAACTTTTGTACCTGACAAGGTCAGTCAAATCCTCTCAGGATTTATCCTGAAACTCTGTAGCACAGTTTGTAGATCCTTTGTCAGTGTCAGCCACGTGGATGAGGCATGGCCATTGCTTGACTCTTTTGCTCTCTGTGAAAGCCTAAGAGAATGTTTTCTCTCCATGTGACTCTCCTTAGGCACACTCTACATCATTGATCACTTTCCTCTGTGGCCTCATTGTCTCCTTGATCAGAAAATTTGGGACACCATTGAGTTAAAGGATGTTACAGTACAGGTTCTCTTATGTCCTGAGACCTCACTGACCTTGAAAGGCTAGGGCCAAAATGTGGCTGTCCTTGTAGCCCTTCTTTTTCTCTAATTTTTGGTCTGCAAACTTAGATTTTTAACCCTCCAGAAGAGAAGCTTAATGATATTATTACCCTATAACATAGGCAGCTGAGCTTAACCTCACTATCTATCTGAATATCAAACATCTTAGACATAACATGAAACAGGCATTTTCCATCAAGTATTGATATGTTAAACTTTAAGTCTCTACAGAAAGTGAAGGGAAAAAATATTTTAAAAGGTAAGAATAAACAATTACATGTTTTTACACCGAAATTTAGAAATCTAGCCATATACAGCATTGTAGCAGGACAGTCCTATGACATTTCTTTCTTGTCTCTTGTTTTCATTTATTACCCTTTTTTAAAAGCAAACATTTACTTGAGAGACAGTATGGCAGTAATGGGTATGACATGACAAGCAGTATGTATTTAGAAGACCAGAATGACAGGCATTCCAAGCATGACCTTAATATTACACATTGCTATTTTCAGGGCAGTTGCTTAGTAGTGAGGACTATTTCTGTTATGGATTATTTTTCTTTCTATTATTTATCTGTAACAATGCATAAAATGTTTACCAATACTTTTACCCCATTCTTTGTCAGCCTTAATTACCGACAAATGTTTGTTCCCCAAGGACTTAGAGATGTACTTCAGGAGCTTGAATGCCATCTTCAGAAGCAGAGAGGCCTTCATCTGCCTGCTTTCTCTGAAACTCCGATGCTGCTGACACAGGCCCCACACTCTGTAAGTATATGTGGGGAATCGCACAATAAATGAATGACTATATAAGTTTTAAAATATGAATGGAGTATGACACCAAATAATAGAAAATAACAGTAATAATTTTTCCACATGGGACCAAACTCTATCTCAAACTTAACTCTATCTTTTTCGAGGAGAATTTTGCATGACAGAATGTTAATTTAAGCCTACAGTTAAAATGTTTTAGAGTATTGTGTTCATCAGACGTCAGTTACTATGAAAAATTAACAGAGAGAATCAACTTAAAAGTAGGAAGTGTTTCTTTTGATTCACGGGGTCAGAAGTTTCAGTCAGTGGCTGATCGGCCCTGATGCTCTGGAGCTGCAGCGGCAGAGGCCAGCACGGTGTGAGCACACACAGAGGAGGCTGCTGTCTTGAGTGTGACCAGCAGGTAGAGGAGACACCTCAAGACAGAGGTGGAGAAGCAGAAACAGGGACCAGAGTTTCAAGGTCAGGGACAAAGTCCCAGTGACCTGATTGCCTTCTACTAGGCTTCACTTCCCCAAAGTTCTACCATTTCTCAGTAGCATTATAGGTGGGGACCACACTTGTGACATGAATCTTTGAGGGATATTCAAGATTCAAACTATAGCAGATTTCAAGTGTGTTTTATGTTAGAACTGGGAAAGGGTTCCATGCAGTAATAACAGTAATTTACTTCTCTTAAAGCATGTTTAAATTGTGCTTTGAATTCTTTTTCTTTTTGGTTTTATTGAAGTTAATAATTTCATTTAAATTTTTATTAGTACATATTTGTAGTGCATAATAGTTATATTCACGGTAGGAAGCTGATGCATGTCCATAACAAATCCTAATTTTTTCATAGTCCTTTCTTCTTCTCTCCCTCCCACCTCTCTCCATCATTCAACCCCTTTCCCATTTGCAAAAGACCTGTCTCCCTGTTTCCCACTATTGATCTTTTATTGTCCTCTTTAATCTGTTTATACTTTGCATTTCTCATAGAAAAGAAACCCTAAGATGTTTAAGATTTTGTGTTTGATTTATTTTACTTAAAATTATATTCACAAGGAACATCCATTATCCTACAAGTGTCTCAAATTTATCCCTCTAAGCTTGAGGATTTGCTAAATATGTAGGCTTTGACTTTAAATTATATAATAGCAAACATGTATGCTATCCTGAAATGGACAAATGATCATGAATAGAGGCTTGCTGATACAGTGAGAATATGGAATGGGTTGAGACAGCGATGATGCATTTTACAAATTAATTTATATTTATCTTTCTAAATATTTCTGCTGTGTAGAAGTGTGTTTTTGAGGACTACGAATTATTTTATCATATGAACCAGGTTCACTATCCAAATTAGTAAAATTCCTTAATCACAAAACTTGAGGTCATTTAAATTTTCAAAGGCAGTGGATGAAAGACCATGACATGAGTCACTTATAGTAAGATCGGCAATTCCTCAATTGGGAACAGTCTTACATAAACAAAGAATAGCTACAAAATGACATAATAGGTCATAGTTATATCTAACTTCCTTTCTGTTTGGGGAGCAACAAAAGGAAGTCTTTAATATGATGGGAAATACCTTTTTTCAATTTACAGAAACAATAAGCAATAGGGCTAAAAAATTATAATGTGTATTTTTATGTTCCAGCTGTGACAGTGTAACAGTATCCTAGAGAACTTTAAAGCATTGTGAAATGAGACTGTGGTGAGAAAATGTTTAGCAAGCATGTATTGTATGCCAAGCGCTGTTGCCTGGCACCTCCCCTGCTTCCTACCCACCGCTTTCCTTGGGGCCCACAGGGTACCGCACTATGTGTTCTAAGAATTGAGGGTTGTTTTAGTGTACTTTATTCCCCTAACATAGACTAGCAAAAAATTTTTAGAAGTACCCACCAACTAAATATCTGTATGTCTGTGGAATGTTAGTCCTGATCAAGACATCAGGAAAAAAACAGATTTCATTCAAGGTCAGTGAACAAAGAAAGCAATAGGACTGTCTCAAAAGCAAGCTCACATTTCAATAGAAAATGCAACAAGTGTAGATATGAAAGAACTGTAAAGTGCTTCTTCCTTGGAAAGCATGAGATGAACTCATGAGAACAATGGAAAAAACTTCTTATTGAGCTAATTACTTCTCTTTTCTCTAAAACATGCCTATTATTTACCATTGATTTAAGCACATTGCAATAACGAGCACACTTCCTCCTCACCTACTATCATTCCTATGTTATAGGCTGGGAACCTGACGCTCAGAGAGAAGCTCTCGCTCTCCCACAGAGGTGGTTGAGTCAGGCTCAGCAGTCTTCAGCTGGCTCAGCTCCTCCTACTCCAAACTGCCCTTCTTCTGTATGGTCACTACATGCTAGCTTATTTGTCCTTCATTCACCAATGAACTGAATCTGATTTTTCTTCTGCTTGTAGTTTAGCTCTATGTCCTCGCACTCCAGTAGGTATTTTGAAAGACAATGTTGATTAATCCTATCATCACTTTACCCTTACAAGTCTTCATTTATATCTCCTTGTATTCTAAGCACTAGATGTCTATGTATTCTTGCCTTTTTCGCTAAATGAACTTGAGATGGCTTTTTCAAGTGTGCACAAAGAAATGATAGCCACATGTGTTATGGGGTGCCCTGCATCACTTATATCTTTTCCTACTAAAGTTGTGACCTAAAGTCATTCTATACTTTTTATTGGCTCTGCTTTCTATCCTATTTTTCTTTGCTCCTCTGGGATTTCTTCTCAGTAATGGTGCCTATTAAATCAAACTTTTCTTTGACAGATAATTTGTATAATTTATTGGAATTCAGGAGTCTCAAAAATGTTTTTTCTGTATCTCCAGTGACTTGATATAAACTGGATGGTGATGGGCCAGAAAATTATTCTCCCAGACCTGAAAAAGCTGACTGTGTAGCTCTGAGCATGACTAACTTGCAGACAACTTAACCGTGTATGGCTCTTCATGCAGTTTCCTGCCAACCCATTCTGAAATAATTGTAACAACCTACAGATTGGACATATCCTCTGTTCAGTGGGTGGCAGATCTGTTTCTGAACATATTCCTCAGGGAGTAGATTCCAAATAAGGTTTACATATCATAGCTATGCTTTACAGTAGATAGCATCCTCTAAGAGTTGTATTTACATGTCAGCAGAAAAAGGGATGTGTGACTATGCAACATGGACGTGCCTATCTACCTTTATCTTAGTTTTTATTTTTTCATATTTATTTATTTTATTTATTTATTTTTTTGGGGTGTAACCGAGGATTGAACTCAGGCCGTTGAACTTCCCAGGGAAGCATTTATTCTACTGAGCCATCTCCCTGGCCTCTACCTTTATTGTTATGGTATCCTCTGAAAGGAATAGTGATGCAGCATCATACGTAATCAAGACACTAAGTGATGAGTTGGTCAATTTTTAGGAAAATGGTTATCTAATTAATTTAAATTATTAATAAAGAGAGGCAGAAGACCTATTCAGACAAAGAATAAGGTTAGATTTTATGTGAGTAGTGATTTTGAATTTTGTCATTTGGAAGTTTTATTTTTATTTTTTGCAATTCAACTTTGATAACTTCAAGTCTTAGTATAATTTTGTTAAATACCATGATCTGGTTTTAGCTGTACTTTAGGGAGTACGGAGATTTTGACCCAGTACTTGGTGCCAGGTCATGTAAGGCAGGATGGCAGCAGTGCAGGGTAGGGATGTAGTGAGGAAGGCAGGAGCCGGCAGAGGCACTCAGAGCAGTGCATCACACAAGAGCAGAAGAATCACCTAGGTTGGGTTCGCCCCATGTCAGCATTCCTCAGGAACTGTACACCTGAGGAGGAGGGAAGGCCGGCTTCCCCTGGCTGTGCAGGACATGGCGCGTTCCACACCATTTGGTGTTAAAGAGGTGAGTGATTTCTGAAGCCTAAAGGGTTTGGGGACATTTAGGTTGGCCTTCTTGGTTCACATGATTTAAAATTCTGTCACTTAAAAATGCATTAATATATTAGGCTAAAGTCCTTCCTTCCTTCCTTCCTTCCTTCCTTCCTTCCTTCCTTCCTTCCTTCCTTCCTTCCTCCCTTTCTTCTTTCTGTCTGTCTCTCTAGCTCTCTGAGTCTCTGTGTCTCTATGTCTCTATGTGTCTGTGCCTCTGTGCCTCTGTGCCTCTGTGTCTGTCTGTCTCTGTCTCTGTGTCTCCCCCCCCCCTCTCTCTCTCTCTCTCTCTCTCTCTCTCTCTCTCTCTCTCTCTCTCTCATATTCTGGGAACTCAATCCAGGAGCCTGATAGGCCAGTGCTCTGCCCACTGATCTATAGTCCTACATTTGTTGATTGGTTGGTTGATTGCCAAGGTCTCAATAGGTTGCCCAGGTTGCTCTTGAATTTATGAACCTGCCAGGTAGGTGGGATGATAGGCATGTTTCACTGCTCTTAGCTTGAAACCTTCTACTTGAAAGAATAAAAACACTAACTGAATCCTCTAGGCCATCAGTCCAGTACATTTCTTATTGAATTAATTGAAATTTTCTCTCCTCAAGATACCTACACTGATGAGACACCTTAGGAAATGAAAAATGAAATGGGCATGATAAAGGTGGCATAAGAAAGGTCATTTGGCCTCCTGATGACTCATCAGGTGTGTGTGGATGATAAAATTAGACTTCTCAAAATATGAAAGATACAAAAAGGTGATGAATGCTCAGTATATGTAATGGTGAAGCAGGATTGGAGAATGAGAGGTGAGACACTGCCAAATAAAAGTTCTGCTGGCTTTGCAATTTTGCTTTTGCTATATTCAATCATTATATTTTTACTCAACCATCCTTAAATGAGTCAGCAATGTAATTCGATACAGTTGTTAAAATAACCCAAATAAAAATAATCTGCTCTGCAGTATTAGAATATGTTAGAAAGGCAAGAGAGAAAGCAAGAGAACATTTATGCGTGACCTGTGGCCTTATTCCCAGCATCATTGTAAGACTGTTGAACAAATTTGACTTATATTCTGAATAATAAGGA